TACATAGAAAAGAAAGTGTGAAGTTAACTTTTTGCATTCAATGCATGTTTAAGAAGGTCTCCATAAAAATTTTAAGCCAAGACTTAAGTTTCAAAGTTATTGATTCAACTTGACTTTATAAGTTTATTTGCTGAGCTCCTTTTTTGTCATCTATTGACTTATATAAATTGTAATGAGTCAAATTTCACATGCAAATTCATTGTACAAAAATACACAATACCAATGTAATGACATACATATCTTTCAAAACTGCTAAAAATTATATATAAATTCAATTATTTTCTTCCCCTTTATTTCTAGTGTACCTAACTTTAAATTTTGTTTCATATGATATAATACTTTGTCACTAGAATATCCTAGATGTTCCACCAGGCGCGGTCAACTTTTATTTGTTTTTAGCACTCGACTTCATTAGTGACGTGGTGAATAACGTTAGCGGGGCTACATAATAAAGCACAAGTTCTTTCCATTTAATTCTCAAAGCCGTTAACCCATTCAGAAGCACTCGGGAGCAAACCTCAGCTACATCCACGAGACAGCCAAAGGCAGNGCAACAATGGGATGTAGGTGTGATGAAAATAAATGGCTGTTCAATTGTTGTGTACCGCTGGAGAGTCACCGGAGATCTTTCTTTTCCATTTCCTTTTACATAGAACGAAAAGCTGCTGCATTTTTCCCTCCCAAGAAATGGGAAGACCAAGAAAGCCAATATATGTACCTCAATGTCATCAAACGTAACAAGGAAAGCAAAATCCCACTGCAAAAGACATGACGAAGGATAATTTAGCTCAACTGAGCCCAGCCAAGGGGCAGATGAGGGGATGCGGCAGAGCAGAAGAAAAGTGGTGGAAGGGTCGCAGGTCCAAGGTAGCAAACGGGCATGGGCTCCAGGAAAAGCAACCACTGCTGGTCCAGGGGTTGGTTTTGGCTTTTCCGGATCCCGCTGTCAAGAGAGTCAAGGGAGACACACCAACCACAAGAGTTTATGCACAGAAAAGGCAAACTTGTGAGAGCGCGATATGCTCTCTGGATAACGGGGAAGCGTGAAATGCATCCCTTGTTTTCTCCTTGTANTTGATACACAAGAAAGCCCAAAGGAAATAAAAATTAGTAATAAGGGAAAGATTTTCTTAGAGTTGGGCTTTGGAGAACCACAAACTATTGTAAAGACTAAGATCTGTTAACACCCCTAGGAACTAATTTTCACACTTTTGGGAGCAATGCCATCCCAATAAGTATACACAATGGGGAGAACATCAATTTTATTTAAAAAGAAAATTTTGTGTTGCTCAAACAAAACAAAATTTTCTTCAAATTTCCAAACAAAGATCAGTCAGAGATTCCAATTCTAAAGGAATCTTATTAAACAAAAGGAAGCCATCTTTGTCAGAAATGTCAACAATGGGATGTAGGTGTGATGAAAATAAATGGCTGTTCAATTGTTGTGTACCGCTGGAGATTCACGGGAGATCTTTCTTTTCCATTTCCTTTTTCATAGAGAGCAAAGTTGCTGCATTTTCCCTCCAATCGAATGGGAATAAAACGAAAGCCAATATATATACCTAAATGTGATGAAACGTAACAAGGAAAGCAAAATCCCACTGCAAAAGACACGACGAAGGATAATTTAGCTAAACTGAGCCCAGCCAAGGGGCAGATGAGGGGATGCGGCAGAGCAGAAGAAAAGTGGTGGAAGGGTCGCAGGTCCAAGGTAGCAAACGGACATGGGCTCCAGGAAAAGCAACCACTGCTGGTCCAGGGGTTGGTTTCAGTTTTGCCGGATCCCGCTGTCAAGAGAGTCAAGGGAGACACACCAACCACAAGAGTTTACGTACAGAAAAGGCAAACTTGTGAGAGCGCAATATGCTCTCTGGATAACGGGGAAGCGTGAAATGCATCCCTTGTTTTCTCGTTGTGGATAAATGGACTCAGAAGTTGACTAATCGTCTTGTCCTGTCTCCAACAATATGCAAGGGAATTTACAATTTCGAAGGACACCCCTTCTTTACACATGGCTAGATTATTTCTCCTAGCTGTCAGAGATGATGTCTTTAATACACTGAAGCTTCGAATGAACTTTCTGCTTAGAATAGCTCGCCGTGAGTCCATAAGTTACTCTTGGTCAGAGGAGTCGTCTTATGCGGTCTTGTTTCCTGGGTATCTTAGCCTAGTTCCTATCGTTTCCGGAGCTCAGTCAATATTTATGAAAGGAATAATCATTATAATAACAGTGGAAAGAATAATACCAAAACACACTGGAGACATGAATTGGGAAGACAATAGATCTAAGCAATTTGTAAGCTATTCCCGCTTTATGCAGGGAAATTGTAATGGAAGATTTTGTGAGGATTGTATAAACAAAACACAAACACTTGATTGTAGAGATTTTTTTCAAGTTTGTCTCCCACTGACGCACCCCAAACTGCCTAATGTGTGCTTCTAAAATCTGTCTAGACTTGGATGAAGAAAAGCGATCCCCCAAGAGGAATTCCGGTTGTAATATTCCTGACATAATAAGAGAGTTGTTCCTTGGCAGATGATATCATGACATTCACTTGTGTTGGGGCACTCAGGTTTATGCAGTTTTGATATCTTGGGTTAACTTAATTCCAAAAAAAAAAAAAAAAATGTATGCCAAACACTGTTGTAACCTAAATGCAACAAATTTGGCAATTTCTGTATGTG